TAAAAGCCGCTCATGTTACAGAAAAGTTGTTTTTTTTGTAACTTTTCAAATGGGCAACGCTTATTGCAATAAATCCCCGTACTTTGCCATGCGCTTGTAGCACGACGCAAGTACTTTTCAGGAAAGCTCGCTGCAGGATGAACTTACTTGGCCTCGAAAAAAGCTCGCAGGGCTGGGCTTCGAATGAAAGGTTGTTGGTAGTGAAAACGCATGGCTTTTTCTGGCCCACTCCTCTTGGATCTTTATGCGTTAAGCTGCCCCGCATACCGTTTGTAATACAAATGCACACGGTTTTATCGCAAGGCACGATGTCGTGCAATAAATGCGTCTAATGTACGGCTTCTACATCGTTTTCCACCTCGAAAGCTCTTACATACGTGTGTGAATTCTCTAGCTAAAATAACAAAAAATACTCACGATAAGTGTTACCGGCATACTTTTCCATCCATTCGAATTACAGTTTGGTACAGTGGTACTAGAGGAAAAAAAAAAAAAATTTAGCCAGCTTGGACGCATGAATGTATGATGTAAAACCTGGCAGAATCACAATTTACACTCGATCAATTTTAATAGTTCTCCTGTGTGTGAATGAAATGCACCGAGTCAATATGTGCACTGCTGCTTGACCGAGCTCCCCCGTCCCCTTTACTCCTCCTCTCGTTTTCTCTATATGTATACGGAGCACAATAATCGTACGTCATACACATATACACGCACAGTCGAGTGCAGCCAGAGAGAGAGAGAGAGAGAGATAGAAGAAAGGCTGCAGAGTAGGTACATGGGAGGAAGAGCAAACGAACTCGTGTAATGAATAGTACAAGCAACTCCTATATGGCTCCATACTCGGTCTCTGTGTGCATGTCTCTTGGTCCTCATCCCCTATCGATAATCCGTCAAGTCTGCATCCAGGGCCGCTGTTTGACTTTGCACTGTGCAATTACACTCCTAGCCCCCGGATTTCCAGTTAGGATAACTGATTTACGCTCGTTGACTCGAACGAAACCCTCGAGCCAAATCTGTATGCACATGTGCGTGCGTGCCTGTCCCCCTTTTATGCACCCAAGTGCATAGTGATGGACGGACACTCGAATGATTTAAAAAAAAAAAAAAAAAAAACATACATCTAGTTCTATCAATAATAATGGCCATAGCATAAGAGGAAGAAGCTGTACGTCTATGGATGGATGTTGTTGGTTCGATCAATTGGGTTATTTTCGGTCCCAACTTGATTGGCAGCTTGTTTGTTTAGGACTTGTCTAACACATCAATTGGAAAACATGCCACGCGTCGACGTCGAATGCATTCCTATTCGGTAGATACAAAACGGCCCTTCGCGTTATGGGTATGTAACCTTGTACTCCTGCGATTAAAAAATAAACGTCCAAAAATAAATTTCCGTGAAATCCGGTCCAATCGGCAAATCGGTGTATCCTTCCGAACCGCTAAGAATCACCAATCATGCCCAACGATTAAATAATCATTACGCGCGCGTATATTATACTTTCTGACGTAACGAAAAAGTCCGTATCCCCGACGTGGGAATAAATCGCGCCACTTATCGATTAACCGAGTATACATACAAACAACGAGAGAAAGAAGAAAGAGAAGAAAAAAAGCCACGCGTACACCTATAAATCTATACACAGCGAGAGTATAGTACAGGGTATACAAGCAACAGCGACCAAGTAAACGTAGTGGCTATACATGCATGTATATACGTATATGTTCGTGATCACCTGTCGTGTTTGCTCGGAATGAAACTTCAGCGCGCGCGCGCGGTCTAACGGATCGAGATCGGCATAACTCGGGATTCACGAGCCGTTAAGAGCCTCGAGCCTTCGGCACACTCGCTCGCGGCTGTGGCCTATAGGTATATCGTATATGTGTTGCTCTGGAAAAAAAAAAGATAAAGACAATCGTAATTAGGAACGACCAGAGGACTTTTGTAAATTATACATAGACGTATAGAGGACCGGATAGATTGGTAGGAAGGAAAAAAAAAAAATTACAGTTAAAGGAGCGAGGATAGCGATCGGTAGTTTTTCACCGATGTGTCACTTTGATTTAATGCTCTCCGCTTGATGCAATCACCCGTTCCGCTTGAAATAATTTATCGGGTTACGAGGTGGACGGAAATTAAAAAAAAACTCGAAAGCCTTCAAGTTGCCAACACCAGAAACCAGCCGAAAATCGGTTCGATCAACGACCCGACGCCACATCGGCACACGTATTCAATTTTACGCCAAACTTTTGGAGCATTTTTATACAAAATACACAGTCAAATCGAATCCATCCACCCATCGTTCGCGTAATTGCGTACAAGTACAAGCGCGTGTACGAGGACTTTTCAATCACGACCATCGCAATCATCCGCCCATCTGATCATCGGTACGCGTATACTTTTAGAAATATCGCTCATAGAAACCAAGATACTCACATTACGTATACACCTAATATACAGACACGATGACACTCATCGTTAGGTATGCATGGGCATCCTCTGTATCTACGTATCGCCCATAATCAAGACTCTGTGTAAACAATACCTATGTATACGTATACTATATAAAATAAGACGACAACGACGATCACCCTCATAATTCGCTTCAATTACAATAATCGGGCGAACGAGCCAGTATAGGTATATATGTACGTACACCTATCGTGTAGCGCAGTGTCAGCGGAAGAAAGAGAGAACTGTCATGTATACGTGCGCGCGTGTCCAAGAGCGATAAAAGGTCCACGCCGTGGGAGCGTAGTATATATATATATATATAAATCACGTGCAACGAACATAAATCATGTCACGCGTACATTATACATAAAATAAAAGCTCGGCTATGTATATACTGCTATTTTGACACTTCAGCGTAGGTAATGCAAGTGCAGATTGGATACTCGGAAAGGTGGGCAAAGATACCTCTATTCTTTATGCAACTTTTCGGAAGTCATTATATTTGTATTGTATACCGCTGCTCAAGATGTGTCTAATTTATAATCAGCCACACGTACCGATACAACGGGCGTTATTCCCATGCTCGAGTTCGTTCGCCCGATCTTCCGGATACGTAGTGAGCGCGCGGAAAATGGTAATTGGATTTGCGCGCACATGGAGAGAGAGAGTGGGGGTGGAGGGTAGGATCGTTTGTCATGATTGGCAGTGGAACAGGGGCACGTTGGTACACATATGTACATGTAGAGAGAGATTGACGGGCCGAGGGTTAACGAGGAGTTGTCGACTGTGATCTCGTGATGCTTCCACTGATGATGATGGTGTTGAACGTCTGACGTTTGCAATTTTGAGAGAGTAAGAGCGCAAAGTTTATAGCGACACGTCAACGGTGAGGATATAATGGATGTTTGCGCCATGCCGTTGGCGCTCATTTGGCGGCTATGGAGTGGATTTTTGGGAAATTCAACTTGGGAGTAGAAATTTGCAGTGGCAATCTGCCGAGGCACGTTTCACGATGAAAGATCGATCCAACGACCCGCATAAATGTGTGTGTGAAATATAATTGTACAGGCACGTCACTTGATTTGCATTGTTCGATGAGGAGGGTACGAGGGGTGGAATACCCTGCAGAGAGAAGATTTTTCTTTTTGGCAGAATATATAATTTACAGTCGCTCAAACAAAGCCAGTCGTGGGAGCGTGTACAACACCTCATCTTCTTCTTTGGATTTTTTTTTTTTTTTGTTTTTACATGAAAAATCGACAATATACGTCCACATATCACCATCAACGGAGACCATCAAACAGCTATGCAGCGTGAGAGCTGTATAATCCGACCATTTTTTATCTCACTCTGTGTCCTTGCCAGAGCTTTTCTTTTGTACGCGAATTAAAAAGAGTTAACCTGCTCAAACCACCCCTTATATCCCCCAAAGAATTAGAAAATACTAGTCTTCTTTGCCCAGCATGCATATAATATATAAATTACATAAGAGCAAAGCAAAACGGAGCCTCCATTTCTCTGTATCTCTCGATTCTTCCTCCCTAGACCTTCTTCCCGTCGATTAATTCCGCAACTAACTGTACACGGCCGCGGGCCGGCAGTTTTATTATTTGCTGCTTATACCATGCGTGCTCGCGAGCGCAGGTCTCCCGGTCCGATCCACCATCCAACTGCTACCTATATGGTCTATATATATATTTCTCCTGTGTGTGAATGAAATGCACCGAGTCAATATGTGCACTGCTGCTTGACCGAGCTCCCCCGTCCCCTTTACTCCTCCTCTCGTTTTCTCTATATGTATACGGAGCACAATAATCGTACGTCATACACATATACACGCACAGTCGAGTGCAGCCAGNATATATATACCCACGAGTACGATTGCACGTCCAAGTTGCGGTGTGAATTCAGAGGTGCTGTTGACCCTGGGCTCGCTGGACCGAGACCGCCACTGCCTCTGTTGTATACACATTACGTTACTCCTGTATAATATATAGCGCTGCTTTTGCCCCTCACCTCTAACGCCTCCCTCTCGCCCCCCTCGTTCTTATACATATATATGTAGGTACGTGTGGTCAGCCGGAAGTGATTATAATGTACTTTCAGAGCTGTATCTCGCGTCTGGACGCGAGTAGTGATGCTCTATAAGTTATTGGAGCGGCTATCGTCGAGCAAGTCGTCAGTTTCGCCCGGGGATTCCTTATATGAAATTACGAGGGTACTTTCGAGAGGTAACTCCACCGAGAGAATTAGACGTCCCAAGATCCTTTGACCAACATTTTTTTTTGCCTCATTATACAGGTACTTACGTACATAGGTGCCAAATTGGCCGTTCATCTGTGACGTTTACGTAAACGTCCATCTTTATACTCGATTCAAAGTTACGCTTAAGGTAATGCCATATAAAACGTGTAGCTGGCAATTGTTAAATAAAACACAGCCAAAATCATCCATCTTTTTATTTTTTTCCATTGTTTTCTTTCACCACCCGCAACGTAAAAAAAAGTGCTCGTCCCAGTAAGGATTTCTTTGGTGTTTCAGGATACGAGAGCAGCTCGTGTCCCCGAATTTGTCCGACGAGCGGTGAGCCGGTATGTGGCAGCGACGGCATCATTTATGCGTCCTCCTGCGAAATGCGGAAGAAGACGTGCGGCAAAGGTGAGTACCTATACCGTGATCTTGCGTGGATATATGGGTGTCATACGGATGAACGAGGAGCAGAGTAGGGGGTAGTGGCCAATGGGCCATTGCACGTATATGTGTACAGGCGGGGCACCTCGTACGAGCAGAGCTGATGGATTTACGATGTAGGACGAGCTGAGCGTTCTATTATTAATTACCTGCGCTTGTTTGCTCGATTGATCGGAGGGGACCCGGGATTGGGAAAACAATCATGGGGGATATGAGCTCGGTAGTAATGCGCGAAGCAACATTTCGCGATGACTGATTTTACTTTCCATTCGAGTGCATACCAACACGTACTTCCACTTCCTTGGTTGAAAACAACAACAAAAAAAAAAAAAAATAAAATAAAATTACGCGGGGCAGCCTTATTTTTCAATTGAAATTAATCGGAGACGCGTCAGCGAGACGAGATAACAAAGGCGATCTTGTTGGTGCATCGTATACACCACACGGGAGAGAGAGAGTAAAGCGGTGTCCTAATTAGAGCGGATTCCTCCACGCGCAAAAAGTCTAATTGGGCCATCAGCCGGTTCTCCCGTGTTGGCTGAGCTACTTACTCCGGGAATGCTTCCGCGTGTATGAAATACATACCGAGGCTTCTTCTTCCTCTTTTTTTTTGCTCCTGTTGTTCGTATGACCACGCGAAACTTTGCTGACCGAACGACGAGAATCAACGATTTTGGAGCTTTACTAATTTCACCATGACATATACGGAACTTTATATGGTGGGAGTGAAATTTTTGGACCTTGTAAAAAATAAAAAGAAAGAAAGTATGTAATGTAATGTAATACTGTTTTTAAGAGTCATTTAAATGGTACTGTGAGGAAAAAAAAAAAAGAAAATAAAACAGGTATGGACTTTAACTGAGAATATGTGAAAAAACAGGGGTGACAGTGGCCTTGGAGAAAACGGCCTGCCTGCGATCGTCGGGCAGTAAGTGCGAGAACCGCTGCCCCGGTGACCAGGATCCAGTTTGCGGCACGGACGGGCGCACTTACCTCAACAAGTGCATGCTCAGGGTGGAGATATGCCGAGTGGGCATCGAGCAGTCGCATCTCGGGCCGTGCAACAACATATCGGCCCACAGGGAAAATTGCCCGGTCTCGTGCGACATCGCGCCCCTCGACGGACCGGTTTGCGGCAGCGACGGCAACGTATACAAGTCCACCTGCCAAATGAAACTCCTCACTTGCGGGTAACTTGCTTTTCCTACTCCTTTCGCTCACGCGCACACTTTATGCCTCTTACGTTTCAATCGGCACCGACGACATTAACATGATTTACCTGGTTTACTTTTGCGCGTGTCGCCACCGCCGTCATCATTACCGCGAGAGTTGTTTTCCTGTTGTTTCAATAAAACCAAAGAAATATCCATCTTTTTTTTTTTTATTTGCCCCCCACACGCACGACTCGGTCGATCATACATGACATTTTGTTCTTTCATTTGCGTTAATAAAGTTATTTCTGTAATTGACATTGGCCATTATGCCGTGGCTATGAGGCAATATAATATAAGAGTCTCGGCCCATTTGCACCCCTTTATTACATCACGGGCGCGCTAATTGGACGTATTAATACATATCTTCACTTGATCAACACTATTATACCCGTACATAAATGTAGAGACTTTTGTGATGATTCAATATTTTTTTTGTGCAATTTGTTGTTTTATGCTTGGTTTCAAAGTAATAAGTCATCGATTTTATTTTTTTATTTTTTTATTACTTCGAGTATAAAATAAATCAACATGAAACAGGACTTTTTAGTGATTTATTCGAATCGATGTCTCCCTTTGTAAAAAAAAGAACGAAAATCAATTTCCATCGAGCCAAATAAATTAAGCCCTTAAAAGCTCTTACAAAAATTTCAATCCCCGAAAAGAGCGCAAAAAACCGCCGATGTATCCCTCCAAAGGGATAAATCGACTTGTCCATTCATATTCCAAGTTTGAATGGACGTGCAAAAACGAGGATAAACGGATTTTCGTTTGCACACAGGCAAGGCGTGGTGAGGACGAATAAGAAGCACTGCCAGACGACGAGACACTGCCGGGAGTCCTGTTGGCGTGGCGCCAAACCCGCTTGCGGAAGTGATGGCAAGATCTACGCGAATACCTGCAAAATGCGAGCAAAGAACTGCGGGTACGTCCGTTGATGAACAAAATTACATACACCTGGGTTACGTAACCTATACTTTTTCGCGCATCGTCATGGCTGAGAACAAGGGTTAATTAACTTTACTGTTGTCGAGCTTTTCTCATTGGGATCACGAAACTCGCGTCAAATAACGAGAAATCCTGTATTGAGCAAAAGTTTTTAATTGCACTAAAAATGTAACTATCTGTTTTTTTATTTTTGCTTGTGGCACGTGCGACAATTTGGTGTAATTTTTTGAAAATGTGCCTTTTGCGTGTGGATGGTTTTTCATACATACAAAAGAGATATTTATTCAAACTGATGCATCTTCTTTAGCTCGAATTAAATTTGCATTTTCTCATCTTGTAAAACAGTAACGGACATTCCTCTACGCTTTTTTTCAAACCTCTGCCGTACATTCTAAGCCCCAACCTTTTGCAACAAAAATGGGGTTGCCACCTTGTGTGCCATCAACTACCCCCGATGGGAAAATTCAATGGAAAACGCAGAGAGATTGCAAAACTCTAAACAAAAAAAATGGCACCTATGATCTTTTGCAGGAAGCACGTGTTCGAGATACCGATGTCCTTCTGCATGACTCAGGAAAGGACTTCCGGCAGCACATCCGTGACCTGTCCCCTGGACTGCAAGGGCGAGCCGGAAATTGCAGTTTGCGGCTCGGACGGCAGTATCTACCGAAGCGAGTGCGAAATGCAGATGCTCAACTGCGGGTAAGTTTTTCCATCATTGTATCACCAAAATCCACTTGGTTATTTTTATATTCTCGTAAAGCTCCACTAAAAATTACAAAATAACGCCAATTCACAAGTTATGCTCGTTACACGTACGATCCATGGGATTAATCTAAAAAATTATTCAATAGACTGATCTGATTTTGTACCTACCAATGTAAGTGCCATTACGAAATGAACAATAAAATCGAGAAAAAATGGATTTGCTCCGGATACATACCGTGCTTGTGTTATCAGTATTAAATTATTCACGATAACCGAATGGACACGTGGGCTTTCTAATGGTGTACGTTGGCGGTGTGTTGCAGAAACACGAGAAGAAAAGTGACAGCTGTGGACTTTGAAAAGTGCCGAACGCGGCTGGCCAAGTGCGTGAAACAACAGCAGCACTGCACCGACGAGGTCGATCCAGTTTGCGGAAGCGATGCCAGCACCTACTCGAACCAGTGCCACTTGAATGTCGCCATCTGCCTGTACGACCGATTTGTAGTTTATTTTCCTCCGTGATTTTTTTTTATTCGTTCTCATGAAAAAAAGGGGGGGGGGATTTACATCTCTTGCCTCCCGTGCTGCAAGCCTATCGATTGATATGAAACTGCAAAAAATATCTTTTAACTTTAAAAATCACTTTTTTAAATTATTTTTTTGTTTTTATTTTCAGTAGTTTCAACGGGTAGGTACGATTAACTTTCGTTACTCATTTGTATAACAGCACTACTGTATAAGTGTATTGAAAGCTAAGCGGGAACTACCTACTTTTACGCAATTTAGCGGTTCTTCCATTATGTATAGATTTTGTCTCGTGCTCTGTAAATCCTTGGCTCGATTGTACACGACCGTAAACAATTGAACTGCGGCAATTCAAAGTCACCTTTAAAGTAGACCAAGTACCGTTTGCTATTACTGATAAAAAAAAAAAAAAAGAAAAAAAAATGATTCAATTGGTGTACTTTCATACGTATTCCGCGAAAACAGGGCTCATTGTCTCAGATCCGAGGCAAAGGATGTCTATAGGACCCAAGCAAGAGTCGCGCCCCGGAACCACTCGATTCCGCGCATTAAGCCACCCACGCGATCCCAAACGATGCGCGCCGTCACGCGTGTGGTATAAAGTCGCGCTTCCGTTTTCATTGCCCCCCCCCCGTCCCCCTCTCACCCTCTTTCTCTATAATCCCTACCGGCTAGGTGTCTATTTAACTTTTTGTCCGGCTCTCGTCCGCAGGAAAGGCATCCAGTTGGCTCACGTAGGCGAATGCACGACCTTGAAGGAGACCGAAGAGTGCCCGGAGGACTGTAGCGAGGTGCCCGAGGAACCAGTTTGCGGCAGCGACGGTAACGTCTATCGGTAAGCTCCTCCTCCTCTCTCTCTCTCTCTGCTCTCACTTTGATGATTATGGCTTTTTAAGAGACACCTTCGTTATCGCTCGTTTTATTCCGCGTCTCGAGCTATGCGTTACCGATTTATTGGGTATAATATAAGGTGTCCGCTGTAGCCTCGCTGGAATCATTGAAAGTGTATGCACTACGTCTCGGCGAGTCGCATTTCAACAGTTGGTGCTTGAATATCGGTTTTCAATCCAAATGCAAATAGGGTATCATAATTGTTCGTACGTCTGCTTCACTGGAAAGGGTATGGTTTTTCTTTGGTGTCTTTTGATACGTGCAGACTTGGGCTCGATTATTTTATGAACTTCAGATTATATCATCACTCATTAATTAACAAAATAAAAAGATAAAACAAAAGGGTTACTTACATCGGTTATAAATTGTTCGTCCGTGTCGATGAGATGGTGCAAAGGGACAAGCTTGAAGTTAAGTGAGTGTGACTTGCTTATATACGTGCAAAACCTTTAGGAAAAAATAAATACCATGTTATATATAGGTGATTGCACCTTGGTTGGAATGAGAAACATTTTTTTAATTACTATACGTAAAAAAAAGAAAAAGAAAAAGAAAGAGACTAACAGTTGACAATCGAAACCAGATCGTTGTGTCAGCTGCAGAAGGAGACGTGCGGTCAGCGAGTGGTCCAGGTGCCGGCCCAACATTGCCCCACGACTGCTCTCTGCAATCAGATCTGTAGCGGCGAGAGGGAGTTCGTCTGCGGCTCCGACAACAAACTCTATCGCAACGAGTGCGAGATGAAGAGGGACAACTGCGGGTAAGACGTACAATCGATTTATTTGTGTGTACCATTGTGACGATAGAGCCGGGATTTCAATGGTACTCGGCTCGAGGCAATCAAAGCCAATGCTATTTGTCTGAGCCACGCACTTGCATTGGCATTGCAGAAAACACGTGTACGTCGTGCCGATGAAGCGATGCATGCAGGGCTTTCTCTTCCGGGGCTGTCAGAAAATCTGTCCGCCCTACTACGACCCGGTCTGCGGTACCGATGGCATGAGCTACAGCAACGAGTGCTTCCTCGAGATCGAAGTCTGCCGCACGCGAAATCACGTCACGAAGAAGTACCACGGAGTCTGCGGCCAGCCCACCGAGGAGCCCAAGAACTATCTCTACTGAATGTACGATTAATTCGCGAACAAAATTAAAACCAATGGCTAAAACTTTTTTTTTTTTTTTGTTCGGTTAGGCTTGATGGGAGTTTTTTTGTTTATCGATATAGGTGTCCCCGAACATTGATGCCGGCTCGAAGTGCATTTCAGAAAAAGCTGACGCTTCGTACGGGTTTTTCATGAGAAAAATTGAAAAATAAAATAAAATAAAATCTGAACAGAGTTATCATGATGATCGAACTGAAGATTATTGTAGTTTCGCGGATGTTTAGGTAGCTTGCAAAAAAAACTATACATATAAATATAAATATATATACAATATCGTTTTTTATTTATTTTGCATATGTGTAGATTAATTTTTAATTTATGCGTATCGCGAAGGAGGTGGACGGAGAAATTAAGCAATTAGTTAATTAAATATACCATCGATGCGCAAACGAGTGGCATCGTGCGATGGACAATCACGAAGTGCCAAGAAACGAAATTAGAAGAGAAAAAAACAAAACATGAGAGAAAAAAAGGGACGTAATGAGGTCCTAAACGTCTACTTGAGACGATTTCTTTTTTCTCGATTTGAAAACTTATATAATTATATTTATTGTAGATGTCTCATACGAAGCACTCTATTGTCATTATTGTTACTATTTTTTTTTTTTTTTTTTCTTATACGAAGGAATGGAAATACCCTTAATATATACATTCATACATAAATATAATGTATTGTCCCTTACCTCCCTTTTCCCGTTCTGCAACATGTGATGTGTATTCATAATGAAAAACCATGACTTATTGTATTATTATTTTTTATCATCATATTGTACTTGTAATAATTTTATTTTTATTACTCCTACTCTCATCTAGTATCGTTAATTTATCATCGAAAAACAAAAACTAGGCATACGAGTATTGATTTGTTTGTTTTTTGTTTTTTTTTATTTTATTTTATTAAGATATAATTATTTGTAATAGCTCCTTAATTTCACTTTTAATAAACATTTATTTTACTTGTATTATTTTTGTTATTTAACTTTCAAATTTTTTGTTATTACTACCGTTTTTTATTTCTGAAAACCTATTTTCAAACGATTCCACCAACATTGCTTGTGAAGGTTGCCGATTTCTCTCAAAAAAAAAAAGATAAAATCAACGATTTCATGCATAAATCTCGATAAAAAAAAGGATCCGCTAAAAAAAATTTTACACTACTTTTTTTCAATAGACAAAATTTAATGCAAGTTCCTCAAATCATCATGCGAAGGAATAAGTATTTAATCAACCCAATTAACTTACTCCATAGAGATATTTATATTCTTATATCTCTATTATGACTTACTTGATTACGAAAAGAACGGTAAGTGAGTAATTCAGTATACCGACAGACATAAAAGTAAATATTCCACGTGAGCTCATACCGACCGATACTCTTCGAGGAACCATCAGCCGGTAGCCCAGTGAGCGATCGGTAACAAAGAGCCCAGTCATATCATAAACAGCTCATCCAGTTTAATTCAAGGTAGTTGACTTACTGACCTGCCGGTAACGTAGAGCGCAAATTTAAATTGCTGCAGGTGACGATTGCGGAAAACACCCCAAGCGGCATTACCACCACGACCTACGTAACTTTACAGCCTCTGATTTTATCATTCTGGTAAAGAGAACACGGTGTAAGATGAACATGAAGTTATGTGTAGTAATTAAAGTAATTACTACTAAGTAATGCCATATGGTCAATTTTATTAAACCATATGAATATCGATATATTTTTGGAGGTCGACTTTCGGGTAAAAAATAGATTGTAAACTTGCCGCAAACATCACAAACCACGTCAACAGGTTATTATCTATCTATAAGATTAGTTGCGGTAAATTATAATTGATTAAATGGCTCTAATGTAAGAAGTAATAATCATTTGGATTAGCGCCATCTAGCGTTGCGGATTTCTGAGCTAAAAAGTGGCCCTAAACTTTTCAACCAGAGCTTTAGCAGTAAGAGCTACTTAGCTTATTATAAACCAGCCGCAACTCATTTTTTAGCTATAAAATAAAAAAATAATGATACACGTGTTTTGCGCGGCAAGTTAACAATCTATCTTTTACTCGAAAATTCATCTTTAAAAGTACAAATACATAAAAGGTCAATTTTTTGGTAGAAAATAGATTGTTATCTTGCCGCCCAAAACACATGTATCATTATTTTTTTATTTTATAGCTAAAAAATGAGTTGCGGCTGGTTTATAATAGGCTAAGTAGCTCTTACTGCTAAAGCTCTGGTTGAAAAGTTTAGGGCCACTTTTTAGCTCAGAAATCCGCAACGCTAGATGGCGCTAATCCAAATCATTATTACTTCTTATATTAGAGCCATTTAATCAATTATAAACTAGCCGCAACTAATTTCATAGATAGATAATAAAAAGTTGACGTGGATTGTGATATTTGCGGCAAGTTTACAATTTATTTTTTACCCGAAAGTCGACCTCCAAAAATATCGATATTCATATTGTTTAATAAAATCGACCATATGACATTACTTAGTAGTAATTACTTTAATTACTACACATAACTTCACGTACATTTTACACCGTGCTCTCTTTACCAGAATGATAAAATTAGAGGCTGTAAGTGTAAAGTTACTTACGTATATTAGGTCGTGGTGGTAACGCCGCTGTCTGCTCCTGCACGCTGCTCGTTGTGCATACAAGTACTTATACCGGTAAATTTTGGTGCTAAAAAATTCAAAGTAAAATATACGTAAATCATGGCAACAATAAGATTACTTAGGCAAAATAAATTTATTATTCCGTGTGGGAAGCGAAAATCCGCTGTCAATCATGTGCAGCAGGTCAGGAAACACTCGGAGTTGGCTTCCGAAGCCATTGTCAAATTCTCCAACGGGTACAGTTTTTACATAACCTGTCGTCCTTTTGCACATCATTTCGTAATTATTAAATTTTTCCTATAAATACATTAAATTTTTTACTGTTTTTATTTTTTGGTTCATTTTAGTACATTGTTTCTTTTTTTTCATATTTTTTAGCACATTTGATTTTTATTCCTAATGTTTTTAATTAACTTTTTAATTTCGCAGGAAAATAATGACATTCTCCACTGGAAAATTAGCCAGGATGGCTGATGGCTCTGCAGTTGCAACCCTAGGAGACACATCGGTCATGGTCACAACAGTCAGCGAGTCTCAATCACTGGGATCATCTTCTTTTGTACCATTGACTGTAGATTATAAACAGAAAGCTTCTGCAGCTGGTCGTATTCCAACAAATTTTTTCAGAAGAGAAATAGGCCGCACAGAGCACGAAGTACTGACAAGTAGATTGATCGACAGATCAATGCGCCCACTGTTTCCTAACAATTATAATTATCAGACTCAAGTGATGTGTAATATGCTCGCCCTTGATGGAACTAATGATCCAGATGTACTATCGATTAATGGGGCATCTGCTGCATTAGCTGTATCTGACATTCCTTGGAATGGACCCATTGGTGCTGTTAGAGTTGGCTTCGTGGACAATGAGATCTTGATCAATCCAACTCGCCATGAATTGCAACAGAGTTCCTTAAATTTGATAGTGACAGCAGCTCAGCAAAATTTAGTTATCATGCTTGAAGGCTCGGCTAACAATATTTTGTTGCAAGATCTGATGAAAGCAGTGAAAGTGGGTGTCAAAGAGTGCCAAAATATAATCCATGCAATTCAGAATCTTCAAAAGAAATCCGGCAAACCAAAGAGGACAGTCGAACCACCGGCAGAGCTATCACCTGAAGTTTTGAATACTTTGAAATCTCTGTCGGAAACAGCGATTCATGACGTTTTTACTAATTACAAACATGACAAATTTTCTCGAGATAAAGCTCTAAGTGATATAAAAAATGATGTGTTAAATAAAATGAAAGAAAACGATTCCGAATTGAATGTATCTTTAGCTACCGCAGCTTTCAGTGAATTATCCAAAAACATATTCAGATCTTTGATATTTAAAAATAATATCAGGTATTTGTTTTTCATGTTACCTCTTATTATAAATGATTATTACAATCTAAAGTATCAATTTTAAATTATTTTGCAGATGTGATGGGAGAAAGTTAACTGATGTAAGAGATATAAAATGCCAAGTGGATTTGTTCAAGCCACTTCATGGATCAGCATTGTTTCAAAGGGGCCAAACTCAAGTTCTTTGTACCGTGACCCTCGATTCTCCAGACAGTGCCTTAAAAATGGACACCATGACAATGTTAACCAGCGGTATCAAAGAAAAGAACTTTTTCCTACACTATGAGTTTCCACCTTATGCTACTAATGAAACTGGAAGAAGCGGCCCCTTAAATAGAAGAGAAATGGGCCATGGGGCATTGGCTGAAAGAGGTTTACGTGCCGTGATTCCAGATGACTATCCTTTTACGATAAGATTGACGAGCGAAGTAATGGAATCAAACGGTATGGATACAATAAATAATAGAAAATTTCTTCAAGAGCAATCTTATTCACTCTACGGCTGTTGTAAGAATCACCATGAATTTTTCTCTAGGCTCTTCATCAATGGCATCTGTTTGCGGCGGAAGTATGGCTCTTATGGATGCCGGTGTACCTGTTTCAGCTCCCGTTGCTGGCATTGCTATGGGATTAATCACAAATTACGAGAAAGACACCAAACACATGCACGACTACCGAATTTTAACTGATTTACTGGTAAATTTTCGAAATGCATAATCATAATCAAACTTCGTCCAGCCCTTGCTAATATTAAACAAAAAATTATTTATACAGGGCATAGAAGACTATCTAGGTGATATGGATTTCAAAATAGCTGGCACAAGGAAAGGTATAACGGCATTACAGGCTGACATAAAAATCGCCGGTCTTCCATTAAAAATCGTCATGGACACTCTCGAGCAGGCTCACGAGGGCAGGTCCCATATTATAAATATTATGAATAAGGAGATATTAAGTCCGCGAAAAGAGAAAAAGAATAATATGCCGGTGACCGAGACTATCAATATTCCTGCTCACCTCAGAGGAAAGCTTATGGGAGTTGGTGGTAGTAACATCAAAAAGATATTCCTCCAAACTGGAGTACACGTAAGCTTTAAAAAGCACTCTTAAAAAAATGTAAATTGAATAAATAAATTCGATAACTTTTAATTGTCATTGACAGGTGAACTACCAAGAAGATTCCCAATTCGTTTTATTCGCGCCGAATCAAACAGCAATGAACGAAGCTAAGGAAATCGTAGATGAATTAACCAAGCATCAACGCGAGCCAACACTAGAATTCGGAGGCATTTACACTGCAACAATCGTTGAGATAAAGGACATTGGGGTGATGATTACGCTGTATCCGGGCATGCAGCCAACGCTGCTTCATAATACTCAGCTGGACCAAAGACAAGTTAACCATGCCAGTGCACTTGATATGCAAGTTGGCCAAGAAATTCAAGTCAAGTACTTTGGTAGAGATCCGGTGTCCGGTTCTATGAGGATATCACGTAAAGTTCTTCAGACGACGAACGTTGCTATGAAAAACTTTAGTAATCGTTCGACGTTAATTCAACAAGCAAAATAATAACAACTCATACTATAGTTACAAAAAAAAAACTATTAAAACGTGTAATTATATTAGATTTATCAGTTGTGTAAATATTACGATTTCATGTAAATTTGTTATGAACTTAAACACAGTAAATTACATATTTTTACTGTACAGTATGTAATTTTATTGTAAAAATGTTTTTTAATACTACTTTTTTTAAAATATAAAACATTTGCATTTAATACATTTTGTTTTGTTAATAATTGTAGTATTTTTCCATTTCTCTACCATTCAAATATAAGTACCTATATACCTGCACGTCAACGGCTTATTAGGTCATTATTATTTAAAAAAATATATCGATACGTACTTGATTTATTAAGTTTTTTACGAGTCACATTTAGAACTATATTCATTTCAAACTACATTTAAATATAATTTTTTCCTTACACCTCCGCCGAAAGTTCGTTCCATCTGACCCGATTTTGAGCTAGAAAAAGCCTCATATCAGTCCTGCCATATGTGCGCAGAACGAAGTGCGCAGATATATATATAGTTATATATTCAGCACCGAGAAGCAGCTGTAGTTATACAATACATATATATATACGGCTAACGGAGTTATAACCTTTATAGTTTATACAACACAGAAAATCGTTGGATATTTATTTACATAAATTATTGGATGTATATATATATATTTTTTTTTTTGCACAATTTACATGTACCTATAGATAAATTTATTAATTTCATATGAACAGAGTACACAACACAAAATTAAAACTACCAAATTAATGTTTTTTGATCAGTTACTTTCACTTTAATGATTTATTTAGTATATAAATGTAGTATATACATGTCATATTACAAAAATAAACTATGAAATCTTTTATTTAATCGAATTATGCCTATCACAATTATAATAGTTATTAATAATAACCTGATTTATTTTGCACTTACGGATATAAACATTAGGATTTTTAAAATGATCTTTATAGGATCCATGATTCGAATTTAAACGGATTTCTCTTCCTCTCGTTTTGCCAGCACGACCAACCTGCACAAATCCTCGGCCCAATCTGATTCTATATTATATACTACAGTCTCGGCGAGCGTATATATATAGATATACCTATACACATGAACACTCATCTACGTGCATTTAAGTGGTATTGTTCGAGCGACCGATCGATCAACAATAATGCATAATGCACTAAATCTTTGACTGGATCTTTAAACCATCATTTTTAACAAAACTAAAACCGTGGTGACAAACTTTCGGCGGAGGTGTAAGGAAAAAAAGTATACGTACCACGGCCAAAAAGTGGGGGCGTACCACTTTCTGGCCTAGGTACGTAATATACTATTACATTGCTTCCCAAACCTTTGAACATACGTTGATTTAAAAAAAATGTAGAGTCCTCTTTATGCGAATTCTTAAGATATCAAGTCAAATTTTTCTATTTTCAATATTGCGTCAATATTATTTGATCGTGGGTATGATTACTAAAAAAGGTACTGTGCAAAAGCCGCATCTTTTGGGTCCGATCCTGCGATACTCGTTTGTACTTGGGACGCATGGTAAACTACCATTTTTTTAAATCTAATCGTCATGGGAATCTGTACTAAAAAACTTGGTAAAAATGAAAGTTTAAAAAAATGTTAATTTTCACGAGCAACACATAATTTATCCTATAAAATAGCTGTCCTCTCTCATACTGTTGTTTTTTTTTTTGTTTTTTTTTCGAGAAATTATATTATTATTTTGGTGATTAAATGTATATTTTTTTGTTTCATTTATGAATAGACATGAAGAAAAGATGCGAGAATTTGCCAATTTTCATTCAAACAAAAACGTGTTGCCGAAGTACTTAATGCAATACAATTTGTATTTAATGATGGTAACATAAATTTTAAAAAATTACAAAAAGTTACTGTAATTTTTTGATAATACAAGAGATAATCAAAAACGGAAGTATCAAAGATGAAAATTATCATCTCAATAAGTAGTTTAGATTAAAAATTAGTCCAACCAGTCACATTTACGAATATCGTTTTGGAATATAGATTCCACTTAAACATTATATGGAATAAAAAGTGTATACATGAACAGATAAATGTGAATGCAATTCGTACAAGGAATGTATTCATACGAAATACGATAAATTTAAAACATTTTAATACAAAGCGTTTCTTGGTACATCACATTCAATACTTTTCACATATTTACCCTATATAAGAAGCCTCAGCCCTGTACAACTGTTTAGTTATATTCCGCTGTGACTGTTGGACTGTAAAATCTACAAGATTCGGTTACACGCTAGCACACGTAAGTTTTTATTTTACTGTATTAAATGATAAACGTTTTATGAAAAAGTTTATTTATCGTATTTTGTGTAAAATATAAGTTTTTCGATTGGATTTGTTAAAGAAAATTTATTTTTTTAAATAATATTTATTACTACTGTTGTCATACATAAGGCCTAAACATATACGAGACATAAAAATAAAAACTACTTTTAATTAAAATAAACATAATTATGTATTTAATCAGTAAATTTTTCAGTCCAAGCTTGTGCAGAATAAACATTCTTGCATTCGCACATTGATAAATGTACTTATTTATGGTACAAGCTTTTTTTAAAAACGATTGTTCAGTGAAACGCGCGGGTTTGTTTAGCAATTCAGTCACAAGTTGACACGCTTATGAATAATCACAAGCATTAAAAACACCCAATATATGAAACTAGCTCATATGTTTAAAAGCAAATGCAACCTTAAGTCTCTCAGATCAATTTTGAGATATTCAAAATGCAATAACAGAATAAATTTCCGTGAACTCCTAAACAGTGTTTATCAAAAAAGGTGAAACTGTTTGTTCAATAATTCTAGAACAACGATATCCCAGGAAGATTAATAATTTTTGTTTGTATTATAACAATTTTTAAAATATGTAGACTGATAATGACGAGTGTATAACTATTGAAGTATTTTATATTTAGATTTTTCTTTTAATTTTTATAAAGTTAGAAATTTTCCAAGAAATCATCAAAGGACATTTATTATCATTTGTTTGAATTTTGTTACAGATTTCCATCCACGATGGCTGCAGTAAGCGTCATAATTCTAATTGCAATCACAATTGCAGTCTTGGACGCGACGGGCCACGACTTGATCAATTATTCAAAGGATTATGATAGCATTTGCAACGAGTTCAATACAACCATCAGTTTTAATGGTTTAAATTTAGATAATATAAGAGCAAGTTTTTTAACCAGTCCATTAATAACATGTTTAAATGTCAGTAGTAATAATGTACAATCAATTAATTTCAATGCTTTCGACGGTTTGCCTAATTTAAGATATTTGGATTTGTCAAACAACACGTTTGATTCGAACTATTTTTTTTACAATGGCTTATCAAATTTGGAGACTCTTATCCTTGATGGTAATGGTCACTATACGGAAAAAATATATGATTATCGCGATTATAACTGGTTTAGATCAAATAAAATACAAATAAGTGTAGTTTATCCGAAATTGAGAAAATTGTTCGCAAGAAATTTCATATATCCACTTATCATTACCACGACATCAAAATCTAACTTTCCAACATTGACGCATTTGTACCTTTCCGGAAGTAAGATACGAGAAAATGACTTTGATTGGCTACCTGATTCGTTAGAATATTTGGACCTTTCGGGCCATGGTTTCAAAAGTTTTACCTTAAAAAACTTGAAAAATTTAACGCACATTATCCTTGATAATCCCAGCGAAGATGGATTAAGTGAGATTGATTTTGCGAATTTAGTTAATTTACAATATTTATCAGCATCATCTAATCAAATAAGTGTCATTACATCTACTACATTTGCGAACTTAAGTTCGTTACTATTTTTGGATCTGACTAATAATAGTATTTCACGCATCGATGAAGGAGTTTTCAACGGTATGGCAAACTTAAAATTTCTAAAATTGTCCAGCAACAACATTGACTTTCTAGAAAGTGGGATTTTTGATAAATTAAATAACTTAGAGACATTAGCATTGGACAAAAATGTTGTCTCTGTTTTCCCTGTTGTACAGAATGAGATGAAATTGAAAGAATTATTTTTAAATTGCAATAAAATTCAAATGATTGTTGGAGGTGTCTTTTCAAAAATGAAATATTTAGAGATATTACATTTACATGATAATGAAATATTATATATTTATCCAGAAACTTTTGCTGGTCTAGAAAATCTCAAAATATTAACATTATCATACAACAATTTGTCAACTCTTCCATATAACTGGATGTCACCGATGACAAGTCTTGAAAACTTAGATCTTACTGGTAATAATATCACAGATTTAGCCGATTTGTCCTTAAGTAATCTGTCTCCCATTAGAAATTTGTACCTATCTAATCAGCTGCGATCGATTAAAACAAGTTCTTTAAATGATATTCCCAAAAATCTGACCATTTCTCTAGATTCTGACTATGTATTTATTAATAAGTGTGTTAAAAGCAGCGAAAAATATCCAATCTATAACAATTATGATTAGCCATTGAAATAACTTTAAAATTCAATAATCATTTAGAATAATGTAAAGTATACCATACTGTAGTTGAATTCATATGCAATAATAAATCATGTCATATCCTTTAAAACACTTTGTGTATTTTGGTTTAATTTTGTTTGCGTTGTATTATTCGTGTGCACGTAGTGTAAGTAAAAGTAAAAATTAGTTTATAGAAATAGGCATCATCGTAATTAATATTTGCTCAATAAATCATAAAAAAATGAATAATAAGTTTTAGTGCTTTATTTTTCCCTCATTACGTAAAAAAAAAAAAAAAAACACACACACAAGTAGTCTCGGAAAAAACAATTATTTAAATAAATTTTCACTCGTGTCATGCACACCTGCATTATTATTATCTGCGAAAGTAAACCTTTTCTTTAACTGGATAATTTATTTGAAAAAAATTGTTATCAACCACTAATTTATTGAATTTGTTATAATAAAATCAAAATAAAAAAAAAAAAAACCTTATACTTACCGGATATTAAATAAAAGCGATTGAAACGAAAACAACGAATGATCGGTAAATCCCACCACTGCACACTCCCTTGTCATTCCTGCACATCAAAGTTATACCGTACGACGAAACAGTAGAACCACAGAGCAAGGAAACACCAAGCAGAAGTTGTCGATGCAGCGAACACAAGCAACCCGGCTTGTACAAAGCCCCGAATTTCCAGAAGACCGGGCTTATCCGCGCATTGAAACCCGAATTCCACCGAGAGTCCGAACGTGCGCATTGAGGATAACAAGATCGGTTTTGTGTGGTCGGACTATTCGACTCCTGTAATTTGTGAGGTCACTGTCGAACATCCATACGATTTAAAATAGCAACTGTAGTAATCATTGATTCATCTCCTTATTGGAAGTCCTTAAAATATTTGGCACTTACTTGCTCGTCAAGGCCTTCTTTTGGACCCCCAAAGCGACTTGTGGACTTGACGAGCAGCTCCAATGAGGCGCTTGGACTGGCCTCGTTGCGCCAATTCCACCTTGACGGTAATCGGATCAATTGAGTTACGACCAACGAGGAGCCCTACACCGCCACGATTCGGCTCCAGTGCCTTTAGTACAGTTTGCACTTGTCCGGAAACAAAGTGTCGAGGCATCGCTTGTTGTCGAGGACGTGTTTCGCTGTAACTTTATCGACGATGACGAAAGGCTGCAGGCTCGAGAAGCTAAAAAATCTCTTGTTATCGTGTGGTTGTTGCTTTTGATAAATTTTTGAGGTGCAGAATAGTACGACCAACAATTTACGATTTATTTTGTTGTTTAAAGTACCATTAGACTTTTTATGTCTAAGTATTGCAATTAACTTTACGCAATAGTGACAATAAAAAAATAGTTCGTGGGATGTCGTACATCGTGGAGTATTGTATAAATGTTATTTAAATGTATAATGAGCTTTTTATTAAAATACTATTTTAAGAAGAAGGAAAATCAAATTTTTTTTTAATTTCATTTCAGTTTTTAGTTCTGTGATTATTTACGTTTAGTTTTTTAAACAATAATAATACATGTGAAAAATTTATTGTAAAACAATTTTTGCTACAAAATTGTAGGTGTTCGAATTAGTGTATGATTATGTTTGGTCATGAAAATAAAATGAATTATAAGCGTAATGTCTCATAAGACGATGTTAGTGCATTATTAATTTGACCTTGCTTACATTGATTTGTTGTGACGTTTATCATTTCAGATAAGCTCACAGCACCAAGAATTCACGGCCTGTTATTATATCACTGAAATTTTTAGGTCAAAGTCAATAAACACAGCATCTGTTTATATTTTTCTTCAACGAAAATTTAGACTAAATTAGGTCAAGACGCTAGAACTGAAATTTAATTTTCTTATTTTAAATCTTTAATAAATAAATGCCCAACGAAATTCAAGATATTTCTCTAAATAATACGATTAATCAATAATTATTATATGGTATTTTGTAATAAAAATACATTAAACATCTTCAGATTTGCATACGTTGCTATCAAGATAAATAAAATAAAAAATAGAGGAAAACAAGAATCATAGTTTTTATACACAAAAGTTACGGTCATTTTCTCTACAAAAATGATTATATTGACACTTCATTGGAGCACGCAACTATTGACTTTTTTTTATACCAATTGTTTTCGCAGATTATGTCCAAAGTACTAAATTATTTCTTAGCTTACAAATATAATACTTAAAAAAAGTATGCCTAGATCAAAGTTAAGATCCGAAAATTTAGAGCAAATTATTGGCATTGACTTCTTGACACGTCCTTCATCGCTTAGACAGCCGCGCTAACCTACTTTAATTCTCATCAAACAATTCTAAAAAAACCATATCAGATGTTTATTCTGCGCAACAAAAATTGTTTTTATTTCAGTTCCCATATAAGCATGGCCACTCCACGAGATTAATCCATTCCAAACAGAATCATTCAAGGAGAAAGTCATCAGACGTCCAAATACCGTGTGTGAGTACAATACAATACACAATTCAAAAAACACAGTGATCAAACAAAAATGTAAAATACAAAGTAATATATTTAACTTTTTTTAATTTTTTAATATTAAAATACTGTTTTCTTGGATATAATACAACAGAGCACGCAACTCAACGGCAATGCTTCAGACGCTCGTGCTACTGCTCATCAGCTCGAGCCTCAAACATTCCACGGCCCACCACTTCTTCGATCCCGACGCCATTAACTTCCCACTACGTAACGTCCAGCACTCGATAAACCTCGACACCTTCGTCACGAGCGAGCGCAACATCACAGCTGGAAAATGCGAGCACGTGTCCAGCCAGCAGCCTCTGGTGTTGAACCTACCTGGCTTGGGTATGTCGTCACCCCCGAACCCCTATCCGGGCTTCATCGACAGTTCTACGGTCACTTGCCTGAACCTCGCCTCCAATGACATATTCCAAGTGGTGCCCGGCTCGTTCGAGCGATTGCCTAATCTGAGCTACCTCGACCTCTCCAAGAACCGCATCCAGTTGTGCGACTTCTTCAACTTCGGTAACCCCCACAAGAGCCTCGTGACCCTCATTATCGAGGAGAACAGCCCACCGATCGACAACATCGACCACACGATCGGCAAGTCCGAGTGTTTCCCGAAGCTCCGCCACCTCTACCTTCGCCGTAACTCCATTCGCAGCCTCAACTTCTCCCTGAGGAAGGCCTTCCCCGCCCTGACCCACCTCTTCCTCTCCGACAACAGCCTCGACAGCCAGACTTTCATCCGCGACCTCCCACCGACGCTCACCCACCTCTTCCTCGAGCACAACCTCATAAGCAGCCTCGACTGCAAGATCGTCCGGGACGTGCAGGTGCTGCACCTCGACGGCAACATCGTCCGAGCCATCTGCCACAGCAACTGCCGCGAGACGTCCCTCAGGCTCGAGGGAGCCCACAAGCTGACGGAGCTGACGATCTCGAGCAATCGCATCACGGAGATCGAGTCCTGCGCCTTCCAGGACTCGAGGTCCTTGCGTGTCCTGAACGTCGCCGGGAACAGCCTGGAGGAGATCAAGCGCGAGACACTCGAGCGACTGGCCGACCTGAGGGAGCTGAACCTCGACGACAATCACCTCACGGGAGTGCCCAACCTGTGCAAAAACAACCAACTGACCAGCGTGTCCCTGAGGCGCAACAAACTGCGGACCATCAGACGCGAGAGCTTCAAGGGCCTGCACCGGCTCAAGTGCCTCTTCCTGGGCGGCAACCAAATCCGCAGCATCGAGGCTGGCTCGTTCGAGGACCTCGAGTCCCTTACCGATCTCGATCTCTCCTCCAACGACTTGGACTTCATACCCAGCGACTGGCTCAAGTGGCAGTGGAACCTGCGCACCCTCGACGTCCGGGGCAACCGGTTCAAGTCGCTGGAGCAGATGTCACTGAGCTCGGCGCCGTTGCTGTCGACCATCTACTTGCAGGACAATCCGGTGTCGCACGTCAGTGGGGCCGTGGTGGCGAAATTGTCGCCCAACGTTGTTGTGCACCTAAGGCACGAGTGCAGTGCCGGTGGGCGAGACAGCCGGTCCGAGTGCCACGCGAGGTGCAACGAGCAAGAGGTCAGGGAGCGGAACGAGACGTACAGCCGATGGATCAATAATCTGTGAGGCAGCGGTTTTATACTCGCTTCGTTCGAGCCTTTTCTCGAGGAGGTCATGATCAACCGTTGTTGATTGTATTGTCATTTTTTTCTCGTCATTCATACTTTACCTATAATACCGTTGCAGACATAGTTGTTTAAGATTAGATATATCTTTGTACATACTTTTTTTTTATTTATTGAATATTATTTGTAATACATTGTTTAAAATAAAATCTGCTTAGTTGGTAATAATATTACGATGATTCATTTTGACCTTTGATTAGTAGGCCTTCGTTTCCGTTTTGTGATAGATTTATTTAATCTTTTACTCTACTGGACGTATTGCGTAAGTGTTCTGTAGTGCGATGTCTTCTTCTTTTTAAATTGCGTTATCTTTGCTATTGAACTTTACCCTCGCGTGGAATACCAATTGATTAATTATATCAATTACTGCATTTTTCAACGATAGTGTAAGAGATCTCACAATTGTTTAATTGATACCGTCGTGGGTTCCCCGATGATGAATACATGAATATTTTTTATGTTTACATCAATAAAAGTGCGATGATTAATACCAATGCTGATAATAGTCTGGTCAAAATTATTTAAATTTATAGAGTATTTGAAAAATTATGTAACTGAGGGTTAAAAGAGGGGTCTCCATAGAGTAAAAGGGGTCTATTCAGGTTGGCTGGGGGTGAAAGTGCCGCAATCGATTTTTGACTTTAACTTTTTGAACTGAAAGGCATAAAAATATATTCTTATGCCAAATTTCAGATTTCTAGATTTTTTAGTTTTTTTTTTTTTCCATTTTCTCGGCTTAGTGAGAAAAAAATCTAAAAAATTGAAAAAAAATGTATTTTTAANAAAATTTTTTTTAATTTTTGACGCAAAATTTTAATTTTCAGAACTGCTTGAAATTTTTAAAAAATTCTAGAAAAATTCATTTTCAAGTGGAATCAATAAAAAAATTCTTTCATTAAAACACAAATTTTTTTACATTATTTTGATTTTTTTTAGATTTTCAAAAGTGGTGATAGAAGTCCCAAAAAATAGAAAGAAATGCAATTTTTTGCATTCATCTGCATTATTATTACAACTAAGTAAATGCATAAAAAGGCTCCATAAAATCATTATTAAAAACCTATTTTGAGTAGAGTTTTTACGTACCTTTTTTTTTTCATTAATTGTTTATAGTGATAATAAGAAAAAATGCCAAAAACTGCAGTTTTGAATTATTTGAACCTGTTTGATATCTTTTAAAAATCTGAGAAAAATTCACAGTAGTAAAAAAAAAGTGTTATCTGTGAAAAAAAATTTTTTGACGTACTATTTGAACAAGGATTTTTTCTAGAATATTTTAAAAATTTGGAATCTTTGTAAAAACTCGAACTTAGCATAAAAAATTTTTAAAAAATTTCTGTAAATTTTTTTTACCTAAACGTCTACGATTAAAAATTTTTTCAGATTTTAGTTCGGCTTATTAAACCAAGGAACCGAAAAAAAATCAACCGAAAACAAGTGAAGTGGTCTAGTGCTGTTGATACGATGAGTCCCTTTCCGCCTTTTCCAATGAAATATTTGTTAATCCGTCATTTATTTGAATTTTTATTTGCTAAACAATCTTAACATCGCTTGAGAATTCATAGAGCTTTCATTGCGTTTATAATTTCTATAGAATTCTCGAGCTTAAAACTATTTTTTAATATTAAAGAATCTTGACTGAACCATACGTTACTGTACGACTGACAATTTATTTGAACTTTCATCTCACATACGTGCTATAAGTATACATGTTATTCGTCATTTACGCTTCAATTAACTGAAATTATAAGATAAATGCTCTACTATTGACTTCTTCTTCTATCATCGACTTTCAAGGATCATGATGTAGATGATTTCATTGAAACAAAATTCATTCTTGAAAAAATATCTTATAAAAGCTATCCAAAACATCTTTCATGACCAGTTAGAACGCGGAATCGGTCAACAGTAGTACGATCGAATAGCCTACCATAAAATAAATGTAAATATTCTTAAAATTTCGACTTTGTTTCCAAAATTAAAAATATTTTCATCTCGAAGCAATTTATTTCTAATCAAACAAATAATTTAATTTACAAGATGCTGTGGCTCACCATTGGTTTCATCATCAGCATCAACTTTAGTGGTATAAAATCGTTCATTCAGCTAAACTCTTACGTTCAGTTTCCTTTGAAGAATGTCCATAATTCAATCGGTGCGGAGTACAATGCGACATTCGAATCCAACTTCACATCCGAATTCCGCCGGTACTATAAAAATGACGGATACATATTGAACTTGCAAAAGCTAAATCTTCGACCAGCTCCAAATCCTTACCCGGGCTTCATCGAAAGTCAAAAAGTGTCGGCGATAAACTTGCGCGAAAATGGAATCTACCAAGTGCAGCCCGACTCGTTTAAATCCGTGCCGAACGTGCAGTACCTGGACCTATCCAGAAACAGAATTGCCTTTTGCGAGATGTTCCATTACCGCAGTTGTGCCAACAACTTGGTAACTCTGATGATCGAGGAGAACGAGTCACCTGCGGAGAGCTTGCAGTGCGAAATCGGCAGAGACAGTTGCTTCCCGCAGCTTCGTTACCTCTACTTGCGCAAAAACTGCATTCGCCGAATCAACTTTTCACTCGCACGCTCGTTCCCGTCCCTCGTTTCGCTGTACCTATCCAACAATGAGATCGACGACTGTGGTTTCATCCGAGACGCTCCGCCGTCCTTGGCTTACCTCTACGTGGAAAACAATCGGATCGCCAGGGTGGATACCAGTGTGGTTAAATATTTGAGGACCCTCAGTGCGGACGACAACAGAATCGAGTCGATTTGTTATCACGAGAACTGCGACTCTGCCTCCCTTCGATTGCTTGGTACTACCAAACTCGAGATTCTGTCGTTGGCCAGAAATAAGATCTCACGGATAGATTCGTGCGCCTTCAAGGATACCTATAGCTTGGTGTGTTTAAATCTGGCTGGGAACAACATCGAGACGATTCATCCATCAGCTCTCGTGCCATTGCGTGCCCTAACCCAACTCAATTTGGACGACAATCGTTTGACGTGTGTGCCAAACCTCAGAGGCAACTGGCATCTAAAGGCGCTTTCGTTGCGCAACAATAAAATCAAGGAAATCAAGAGGGACGACTTTAGTAACGCCAAGACCCTCCAGAAGCTATTTCTCGGCGGCAATTGTATCAGAAGTATACAGAGCGACGTCTTCGAGGACCTCACGTGGCTGCAGATGCTAGACTTGTCGGACAATGGGATGGACAGTCTGGTGAGCGGATGGATGCGCGGTTTGGCGAATTTGAAGCACTTGGATCTGAGAAATAACAGATTCGTGTTCGTTCATCAACTGTTTTTCACTACTTCGCTGTGTCTGAGGGAACTTCACCTCGAGAATAACAAATATACAAAGAGCGACGAATGTAAAATTCAAGAATATTTTCCGAACGCCATGGTTTTTTTGGATAGCTGCAGTTATAATGCGAGTTTGAAACGAGTTGCCGGTCGAGACTTGCCTGACATTTACTGGGAAATGAGCACTCAAGAAAAATCGGATTTCTCGTATGAATTGAGTTTTATGAAAATATAAACGATTCGGACGATTTTATTCGATTGTACATCATGTCCATACTCGTGTTGGTCGCCAACACTTTGAAATACATCTGATTGAACCGAAACACGATACATTCTTTAAGAGATAAAAGTGAGGGCAACATTTATAAGCATGGAAACGTAATTTCATATCACAAATCAAACTTCAGTTTACTTATATAAAAAAAAGCCTCCAACTTCACAGATAAACTTTGATCTCTGATAAGTTGGTAACGATGTACTATAAAGCTGATTTTTGAGAAGCAAATAGGTCTATTGTGTACTGGTATTTGGATTAAGAATTTTATGTATTTCTTCAGCAACTATTGCATTTTGTGAATATCACCATTTTTTTTAGGAAAATATAACAAGTATACAACTTGTGTTTAAATCAGTGTTCAAGTACTACCAAAGTTTTTTTACCATTGTTAAAACAATGATAAAATTTGTCACAGCGATTATTTTCTGCATTAGTGTGGTTTGCGAAGTAGCCAAAGACGATCTTCAAGCTGTAGCTGCAGATCATACTACATCTGATTATGATAGACGTGAATTAGAAGATCTGCTTTCACCTATTAGCCACCAAGAAGAGAAAAGTTTAAAAGCTGTAAATTGTACTAGTGAGATAAAGAAAGTACAAAATAATTGTATCAACACGTGCGATGTCACGCTAAATTTTGATTCTTTAAAGGTATATCATTTTCGTTCGACCTTTATTTCAAGTTCAACTTTGAAAAGTCTTAACTTGAGTAATGGTGGAATTAGAAAATTTAGTGCAGATACATTTGATTTACCAGCCATAGAGCATTTGGATCTATCAAAAAATCGGTTGAGTATTAGTAATTTATTTTCTTTCTGAGAAATTTCATCCCTAAAAACTTTAATCCTTGATGACAATTCTGATGACCAGAAAAATAGTTATACTGAAAATTATAACTCAGAAATCGGATATCACGTATACGAATCCTACGATACAACGACACGACGAAATCATGAAGAATTAAAAATACCGTATTCTTATCCTAATTTAAGATTTCTTTCTCTTCGAAACGTGGATATTAATTCACTACCATCTGATATGGAAACACGTTTACCAATGCTAGAACATCTTGATTTATCGATAAATCGTAATTTAGATATAAAGAATTTATTTGAAAGTATGCCAGTGTCCTTAAAAAGTTTATCAATGGATTTAAATCATTTGGAAACATTTAAAAATGACCTCTCATCTAACATTTCCATATTAAGTTTAAATGACAATAATTTTGAGATATTAACTGATGATTTAAATCAGTTTGGTAGTACATTTTATTTAGGCAAGTTTGAGAATTTGCAACATTTATCTATTTGTAATTGTAAGATAAAGCAAATCGAGATAGACGCTTTCAAAAGTAATAAAAAATTAGTTTACTTAGACCTTTCTAGAAATGAGTTTGTAAGGATTTCACCAGGCACGTTTGATAATATTCCTTTGCTAACAACATTAAATATCAGTAACACTCCTTTAATTACTATACCAGATTTTAGTACATTACCAAACTTGGATGAATTAGTTATGGATGGAATGAGGAACAATCTTATTTTCAAGTCAGTTGTAAATTTTTCCGAAATACCAGCACTGAAGACTCTTTCATTACGACTCAACTCTTTGACAACAGTACCAATAACATTTCTTAGTAAATTGCCAAATCTACGACAACTTGATTTGTCGAACAACAGAATTACCATTTTACCATCTTGGCAAGGAATCAATTACATTGAAACGTTGAATTTGGATTTTAATCCAATTTCAAATATCAATAATATATCAATTCTTGAAGCCAAGGCTCTGAAGTTGTTAAAACTAAAACATATTGGAAAATTTAAAGTCAATTCAAATGTTTTTAAATACCTACCAAATGATGTCATTATTGAATTTTGATTTTTTTTTGTTCATTCTCTACTTACAATGGCTTGATTATTATTTTATGACTAACAAGATTGGCAATTTTTTTTAATTGACAATAAGTTTTTATTAAATTTTAGATGTTTTGATTTAATTCTTACTCGTACGAATGAAAAAAAGTTTGATCCAAAATTTCATCTCATTAGAATTTCCTCTTACTTAAATTTTATAAGTAAAGTTAAAAAAACTATGATCTTTTATAGTAAAGTTCTGTACGTATTTTTTATTCTTAGTCCCTACGTTCACTTTTCCAAATAACAATTCTGTTGGTGTGTACCAAAAAAATAGAAAGACAATATTCACTGCCTAACTCGTAAGCTCAATGGATTGTATAAATAGATACTTGAAGAACCTTTTATTTTTCCGATATGAGATTGTAACACCTAAATTTGTGAAAAAAAAATTTTTGCTAGTTGAAACTGAGGTAGAACTTTAAATTTACAAAAGTTATCATGATGCAATATGTTATATTAACTTATATTTGTTAGATTGTAAAATATTACGAGCTTTCTTTAATCTCAATACCTATTTTATTTACGATATAAGTGATTTTTTAAAATAAATTTTTATTCAACTTATAAATATGTATTACTTAATAATCCCTTTATTTCCTGCTCCATTACATGCGCTGTCATTTGTGGTTCGTAACTTTTTTTTTCGGCATCTATGTTGCCACTAATATCACTTTTTTTTTTCTCAATAAATGCCGTTAAAAAAAAAGGGTTACATACTAGCCGTAATTCGTTTGGTAATTCTGTAAAAAAATTTGAATCACTGCTATTTAATTTTACTACTTAATGATGAATGCCAAAATGATGTTTCGGCCTTTTTGATTTGAAAAAAAAAAAATTGTATTTTGTAATGAAATAAATTATTATACTGTATACATCTGAATGAGTTAAATACAAAACGAAAAAAAAAAAAAAAAAACCATCATTGAAGTAGGCTACACATATCTTTATCGTTACGTAAAGTAAAAGCTTGAACAGAACTCCAATACCCCTAGCGTGACGGCTTTACACGGAATCTCGCCAAGTATACGTATGTACTCTTTATGTACCGAATGGTAAATACATGAATTATATCAGAATACATGCGTATGCATACCCTATAAAGAATCTCTTTGTTTGAATGATTGTGTCAAGTTGAGAAAGCTCATTCAGATACACTTTATCAAAACAAGACTTTCAAAGAGACATGTAGTCTGGCATTGATGAAAATTTACAGTTGAATCTAATATTGTCATCGCAATAATAGTAGTTGAAATAAAAAAATTATTTTCAATCTTTTAAAACAACGAAAGCCCACGAACTTTATTAAAACTAACCAAGTACCAAAAATGTCGCATATCTAAAATCGTCTTGGCAACTCTTCAAACATTAACGCGAAAGCTGTAAAAACACGCACCTTTACCTATATCAACAGCATATCTGATAGCCGTAAACGTAACACTGTTTAATTGCATTAATGCAAAAGTTAAATCTCAACAGAAGAGTCTTCAATTATAACAACAATTTCACCAAAAGGCGAGTACGTAAGTTTTGCACAAATTCATCCAGCCGCAAGTTCCGCTGCTCACACCTAAAGCGCCAAGCTTCCTCTGATCCGATGCTTTGACAGCGACTGCAACCCACAGCTACGGATGGTCAAGTACAGGCCGCGCAAGCGTAGTATCAGCCTAATTCTCTGGCCCGAGCTTTTTCCCGTAAAACAATCTTTGTGACTGTGTAATTTTTGCCCCCAACGATTTTTCACTTAACCCCGTCGTACAAACGAATTGGCCAATCGTAGCTCATTGATCGACGCGTCAACTGCGGAGAAAAAAAAATTAAAAAATCACTATAGGATGGGGCACGTGGCATAAAAAAATCCCTCCAACCGCTTCCCGATTTTTTGTCTCTTACATGCCCGAGGAAGAAGAAAACCCAAGAAATTAACAATCCCGATGGCACCTCAATTTTCCACGGGCCTCGCCCACCTCCTGCTCATCATCTCGGGTTCTTTGTCACACCTACAGATGACACGCTCGGACATACCCGTTTATTTTCGATCGAGCGCCCCACAGACGGCCCATTCATCTCCAAGCTTCCACCCTCCCACGCACGCACCCGCTCCCTCATACCCTCACGCATCTCTTTTTCAGGTGGTCCACCACCGACACCGCCCCGTGTTTACGTCCAGAGGCCCATATACATACATACACATCCAGTGCAGCAACGCCCGCGACACCCTCCCGCAGTCACCGCGAGCTCAAGCTGCACGCTACTGCACGTACATATACATACATACAATACTCGGCAGTGGAACAAAGGGCGGAGGCAGGGGGTGAGACTGAGAGAGCGCAGGGGCTTCTTCTCTCGACTCTACGCTATACCTATGTAGGTACGTGAGGCGCGCCACCACCCTCGCCCCCCCTCTCTCTCTGCGCCGTGCACACACGATACGTAGAGGCTCCGGCTGGCTGGCACGGCTTCCTTCACCTCAGTGCTCGCCCGAACGCGGCTCCGGTCGTCGTTGTCGCAGTTGTGAGCGCGAGCCCCGCCCCCTCCCACCCCCACGGTGCCCATACCTGCGCGCATTCGACAATACACGTAGATGTACAATTGAATTTACGTGAAATAGGATACATACATAGAGTACCAATAGTTAGTGGATCGCCGAGTGATGCGGGCAAACGGCGGAGAAAAAGCTCCGGCAATCGGCGAGCCGCGAGCCCGGTAACCCACCCCCCCAAGCCCCGGCTCGGCCCTACCCCGATGTAAGGCCTCCGCTCTCTTTTTCTTCTTTCCTCTCTCTTTCTCTCTCCTCTCACTGTCTACTCTTACCTACAGACTCTCTTCTCTCTTTATCTCTCTCGACATCACCTTCCTCTTCCTTCGCCGGCCCCACACAAATGTGTACGCGGTCGTTTCGTGCAGTGCCGCGTAAGCACGAGATATATTTTCGTTGGCAATGAGCTCGAAGGAATCAAGTGTTTGTGCCAGCGTTGGGAGATAAGTGCGCGATAGCCCCGAGTACCACGGCAATTGGTCATCGAGGAGGGACAGATATAGGTGTACACATACCATGGGGTGTAGTCGGCTGCGGCTGCAGTGACAAGAGCGAGCCGGGAGGGGGCGGGTGGGTGGGCGCCGGTATGTTTGGGCGGGAAAAACGCCGCGCCGAGGTGCGTTGAACAAGGGGGAGAGAGACGAATAAGAACAAGGACGAGGATGTCGGGCAATTACTCGGCCCGGTGCGAGCCCGGGCTCATGGTACCGGTGTGGTACCCTACCGAGAACCTCGAGCTAACGGACGTGGTGTTCCGGGGCACGGTGTACTTTTTGTCGATGATGTACCTGTTTATCGGCGTGAGCATCATATCCGACCGGTTCATGGCCGCGATCGAGGTGATCACATCGAAGGAGAAGGAACTCGTGGTGAAGCGCCCGGGCAAGGAGCCCCAGATCGTGATAGTGCGCGTGTGGAACGAGACCGTGGCCAACTTGACCCTCATGGCCCTCGGGAGCAGCGCACCCGAGATATTGTTGTCCATCATCGAGATCTACGCAAAAAACTTCCAAGCCGGGGAACTCGGGCCGGGCACGATAGTCGGCTCGGCCGCCTACAACCTCTTTGTCATCATATCCCTGTGCGTCTTTGTCATACCTAACGGCGAAGTCCGGAAGATCAAGCACCTACGGGTGTTCTTCGTCACAGCGACCTGGAGCATATTCGCCTACGTGTGGATGTACTACATCCTTGCGGTGAGCAGTCCCGGGGTCCTCGAGGTCTGGGAGGGCCTGTTGACCTTCAGCTTTTTCCCGGCCACGGTGCTCACGGCTTACATAGCCGACCGCAGGCTGCTGATCTACAAGTACCTGCACAAGGGCTACCGGATGAACAAGCGCGGGGTGATCGTCGAGGCCGAGGCGAGGAGCGACTCGGACAACGGGGTCGAGCTCGAGATCAAGGCCATCGAGTCTCAGCCGACGATACGCCGGGGGCACAACGGCTCGATCGAGAGGTACGCCGAGGCGATAGACGACACCCCCGAGTCCCGGGAGTTCGAGCAGACGCGCCGGGACTACATACGCACGCTCAAGGAGTTGCGCAAGAGGCATCCCCAGTTGGCCCTCGAGCAGCTCGAGGTGATGGCCCACGAGGAGGTGTTGGGCAAGGGCCCGAAGAGCCGGGCGTTCTATAGGGTGCAGGCGACGCGGAAGATGGTCGGGGCGGGCAACCTCAGCCGGAAGATCAGCGAGCGGGCCCAGAGCGATTTGAGCGAGGTGAAGGCCGAGCTGCAGCGGGCCGAGGCCGAAAGCGTTGACATCGACAACATCAACGCGACGAGGGTCTACTTCGAGCCGGGGCATTACACGGTCATGGAGAACGTGGGGACGTTCGAGGTTGGGGTCACTCGGGTGGGGGGCGATTTGAACAGGCCCTGCACGGTGGACTACAGTACCGAGGATGGAACGGCCGAGGCTGGCTCGGACTACGTCAGCGTGAGGGGTACCCTCAAGTTCGAGCCCGGCGAGACGAGGAAGACCATCAAGCTGTCCGTCATCGACGACGAGCTCTTCGAGGAGGATGAGCACTTTTACGTCAGGTGAGCGCTGTATACTTATGGTACGTAGGGATCGAGACTCGGAGACCAAGAGGGGATTTTTTGGACCACAATTATACCTATACGTATAATTTCTTGTGAATCACTTGATACGTTGGAAAACAGATTTTACTTTATATGTTTCAAAATTAACGTCATCTCAATGATTTGGGGTTCCCACACGGGTTTATAGAATTTTTGGACGGGATTCAAGTAGGAAGAGTTTAAATACACTTGCTCGTACGTGCCAATTTTCATGCAAGCTGATGCTTTACTTTGGAAGATTTTCTTGAGACGCGAAAATTCAATAGCTACAAGGCAGGATATTTTTAAATCTTAACTTGAAATGCTTTTGTATGTTCCTCGAAGAAAAAAAGCTTAACCGCACGTAAATCATCTATTTTTCGCCAGAAATTATACATTTTTTACCCGGTGTGCGAGGGTGATCAAAGTGGTGTCCGAATTTATGGAAGACATGTGAATGGACTATTTCAAAATATTTTCACATTACTCATCTGAATTCTTATAGGGGCTTTTGTTCCATAAATCATATTTTGGTAGTTTTTCAAAAAACTTCTGACATTGAAGCTATATGAAACTGTGGAATAAGATTTTTAGTGTTTTGATAGTAACTTTTTACCTACGTTTATTTTTTATGTCTAGAATAGTTGTGGTTCTTTGATATTTATTTTTATAAAAAAAAAATTATACTGCTTTGTAAACTGTAGAGAATTTTAAAAATATCTCACAATGGAGCTATTTACGGTCAACACTAGTTCATTCTTATACGTTTTTGCATGAAAACTAAAAAAGAAAATGAAAAATTTTAACGGATAAACTTAAAATAAGTTTGTAAAAAAAAAGCTACGTCGTAAATCAGCGTTGCAGTTACGTTTATTCTCAGATAAAAAAAATTCTTACCTAAAATGCAAAAGTTTCGCTAATCGCACATACTTAGTCAGAAGTAAAAAAATAAAAATACTTTGCTGAAAAAAGTAGATTATCTTTCCGCGACGCCTCAACGTGTACTTTTAGTTGTAACTCGGCAAACTTTGACCTTATCTAAAAAATTAATTTTCACGAACAGTCCACAAGGCAGTACATCTCACTCGTTAAACAAAACTTTGAACAAACTACGGTACGATCGTTATCAACCTGATTATCATCCCCTAATTCTCTGAGCAACTGTAAAGTGAAAAAGTCAACGTAAGAGGGTGGGTGAAGAAAAAAAATGGAAATTCTTCAAACTCGGTGAAAATTGATTATTCAATTTGCCAAAGCACCCAGAGGAGATTAATCCATTCTCGATAACAGCCGATGCAACAATGGCACCAAAAACCCACTCTCCGACCCTCCCTTTCCCTTTGATCCGTAAAATAAAGCCCCCGAGCCTCATCATCATTACATGCACTGCCTCCCTTTGTGCTCTCCCGCTCAAGCGTCGACTTATCGATGCAGAGAAAGGAAAAAGGTCGGGGCGCATGTCGTGAGTCGCCGTAGTCTCGAACGACAGATCCCAGCCCCGAGATAGGGGCTTAAGTAGCCGGTGATTAGTCGATAAGGCGCGCGTGGGTACGTAAAAATAAAGAAAGGCGAGAGAACGGGGGAGGCGGTACGTTTCGAGCTGAATTTTCTCTCCACTCGCGTGCGAGCTCGTTGATAGCGCCTCCGAGGGCCAATGACGCATTTTTTTTTCTTTTTTTTATGCATATTCAAGCGCCGGGTAAATGGGCTCGGACAAGCCAACGAAACCTTAAAGAGGCACAATAATGCATGGGAGACTTTTAATTTGCTCCATTACTTTAGAGGTCCAGTAGGGAAAGCCTATTGAGCTCGGCCTCGATGACAGGGGTTAACGGAAAAACAGCTCACCCCAAAGTTTTCTTTACGTGCCTACGTGTTGTCGAATATTCATTTGGGGGAAAAACAAGTAAAAGAGAAAAACATTATATTACAATAGAAAACCTAGCTGTATGATATTCATCTGTAAAGGTGTAAGGAAAAGAAAAAAAACAACGAATAAATTGTAACCTCCAGACTGACCAACTGCTCGCAACCGGCGATGCTGGCGTCGCCGAGTCTGGCGACGGTGATGATCCTCGACGACGACCACAGCGGCATCTTCGGCTTCCCGGAGCGCGACTACGAGCTCGTCGAGAGCATCGGCCATTTCCACCTCAAAGTCATACGGTACAGCGGCGCCCGGGGCCGCGTGGTCATTGGATTCAGGACCGTCGAGGGTACCGCCAAACCCGGCAAGCAGTACGTCCACGCCGAGGACAGTATCACCTTCGAGGACAACCAGACCGAGTGAGTAGAACCATTTGCTTAATCATTTATCGGTCCTTGTTGTAGTGTTGACGTGGTGTATATGTGGGTAGACGAAGAGAAGTAGGATACCCCCAACCATATATGATATCTCCTCGGTCAAGGGTTCAATGACTCTACCCACGTGACAAAATTATTCACAAAAAAATACGTATCTCACATTATCGTCTTTCTAGGCGATAGTTGAAAAACAAAGTAACCCAACGTGAGATTTCCTTTTTGATTGAATAAATTTCTCTCCCGGCCGTAATTGTAACCCTACGTACATGGTTATCTCGATTGACACGTCACTTGTTTCCGGCTCGACAGACTATTCCTTTTTTTTTTTTTTTTTTTTTTTTCTTTTCTCACCCAACAAAAATACAATTCACCTTACGATCGAGTACCACGCAATACTCTCTCGTACTGATTTATCGTATCGCAGATTAAAATTACCTACGTAGGTGTATCACGTTGAAATCGAAGTACCTGTGAGCAAAAAAAAAATTACTCCTTTGTTTTTGTATGAAAGCTGACTGATTAAAGTCAAAGATTTGGACGCGAAAAAAAAAAAAGAGGAGGGACGATTTATCGACGTCGAGACGAAAAACGCGAAAGCCCCGCGGCTGTCGGCGAAGAAGGACACGAGATTAATGGTCCTCCGGTTAATTAGGGACGAGCGCAATCGGGGAACTGTAACGTGAATCTCCCGTCCACGGTCACAAACTCAAAAATGCAAATTTCCGATGACTGCACTAGCGAGGAAGATTGATAAATAGGAGGACCTTTGGGCAACCCACACAGCTGATTGTAAATTTTTCGCTGCGCGTAATTGATGCGGCTTGGAGTCGGATTATCATTTTATGGATGACCCATGGCGCACTGGATTAATATTCATTATGCCCACCTCTACCCCATCCGGAGGATACGGGGCTTAATGTAGTTTATTTCTACGCTAACTAATCTGAAGCCTCGAAAAAAAAGGCACCACGTGCAATTATCTCCCGCGGATTAACACCCCGTTGATTGAACAAACGAGCGAATAAACTGGAAGGTCTCATTAACAAGCGGAAATTGGAGCGGAGGTTTTTAGCATCGCTTCCGAGGCTGTTTGCACTGATTGTTTGTACGAATCTAGATTTTTTTTAGCTCCTAGTCTAGGCGACTCTATCCAGAGTCCGACGTAGGGTGGCCGGGCACGATTTCTTCTCGCAAAAGTAACCGGATCAGAGGCACCGGGAATGCCCACCTGGAGGAATTAAGTGCCAACAACGACATGCACATCGGAGCGGGGTGTGTGTGCAGTCTCTCCTCCCCCGGTCGATATATACCGGCTCCCCGTCCTCCTCTTCCACCCTCGCGTTTCTTCCAGCGCGGAAAATTTGTACGGACACACACGCAGGCGAAAAGGCATCAACCGACCACGCTTGACCGCAGCTCGGATGTTAACGACCTTTTGCGCGCTTCGATTTTTTTTTCCTCCTCCCTCCCGCGAAGTTTACCCCTGCTTTTGTGGAACTCGCTTTTTTATTCATACCTGTATATACATGTTGCGCTTGCGTAACGTTTTGCGGAACAACGCTTGTGTACCTTTTTTTCTTCTTGTTTCTCTATTTTCGCATACAGGAATGTATAATTATAATTTGTTCAGCTTACATTTCCGTGGCTATTGTAAGGGTGTGGAGAGGAGGCGAACAATAGTTGGGAAGTCGAGTGTTTTTTTTTTCCGATCGAACGTTTCATCCCGGGATTCGAGGGAAAAAAAAAAGTTGGATTGTACGACTATCCGGTAAAAGGTGGGCTTTTGGATTTAACATTGATCGCGCGAGTCTCCCTTACGCGAGCTTAATGCGATATTATGCTATCCGTCTTGGCTTTGCGGACGGGATTTATTACTCGCTCGGGGGTGCGCGGCACTTTCGCGTCAAAAATGCTGGAGGTGGATTTTAAAAAGATTAACGCCCACTGACGATGATGAGCTTACCCCCTCGTTATGCTGTACAGTGCGATCCTTGGAGGAATTTTTCAGTAATATTTTCTTGGTGATAATCGAAAATCTGGGAAAGTTTTTCAGAAATGAAGATTTTGCAATAACAATAAATTTTTATTCGAAAAAGTACCTCACACAACTTAACATACGTTTAATATACGTTTAACTTTGTACACCGTTTATATGCGAATCATTGTTTATACATTTTCTGCCAGTATAAATTTAACAATAAAATATTCTGCACTCAATAACAAAAAAAAAAGCTCCGTCCCAAAGAACCGATAGGTAGACACTTTGTTTCCAATCTGAAGTGAATAAACAACTGTATATTACTTTCTTTGGCTCAGAAATTCATGACATAGTATAACGTACGTATAAAAAAAAAAAAATAATAATACTAATCTACCTCTGTCTTATAAATCACTATTTTTATCCATCGTACACAAATGCTTAACGCAAAAAATCTCACTTTCACGTACATTATTTTCCAACTTATTCACAACCAAACTATAAATTTTATAAATTATCCTGCATTGAAATGTAGAGAGAACAAGTTGTATTTTTGATGCTCGCAATACATATTATATTTCTGATAACCCCGTTCTTATATAACAAAGCAGAAAAGTCCAGCGAGCGTAGCTGTATGGCGTTGTAAATGATGAAGTAAAATCGAGTGAGTCATAATATCACAAGCAAAACACGGGGTCCATTATCATAGTCCAAAGTTTGGGCAGGCAAGTTGTATTTTTGATGTATACCCACTCCATGCATCTCAATTAACTTGACCCACAGATGCAATGTAGACCACCCGTGCAACGATAACACTTATCGAGGAGCCGAAAACATCGGACCCACTTCGGAACTCCTGAAACAACCCGATCACATCGCCCCGCGTATTAACACCCTCAACTCGCAAGAGCAGCCAAAGAGACGGAGATATGTATATACACTTGTGTACGGCAGTTATCGCGCGACTCGCTTGGCAAAATTGTCGTCGCGCATGCACGAACGATTTCACGATGCAGCCGAATTTAATTACAACCCCCGCGCACTTTCCACGGGGTATGGAGTAGCAGGGGAGCCTTGGAGAGGGAGCGGCGTTATCGAGCTACGCTCTTAACGACTCGTGCTATACACTCTGGCGTGTAACTGAGACTCCCTTGGAAAGTGTAGGGGTACGCTTTTACGTTGGATTCGGGGCACGTGTGGGCAAGACCACGCTGTTATCATCTCCCGCTGTTTATCTCCCGGTAGGATCTTGTTACGCACCGTAGGTGTCGACGCTACGTGTTTTTCCCTTTCACGATTCTCCTTCCTCTCTCGTGTATGTGTTGTACGGCATAGCTACGCGCTATATACTGCCGGTCGTTTTTGCGTGGCCGATCGAGTTGTTTGGTAGTAATGGTTTTACGGTGCATATGAACGTATCACCGATTCGTCGTAAATTATTCGTGAATTACGTGCGATGCAAAAGTGACATTAAGCTCCCGGCGTTTTGTCAACTCCCATCTGAGGGTACCGGAGGGGCGTGTATTTATTACTCCAAAGTCGTAAAAGCTCTCGAGATCGATCAAACCTATACGGTCTTTCTTGAGCTTGGTTGACCTACTTTTGCCCATCACTCCCATCCATCTGTCCCCCTCGAGGTGAGATACAGCCGTGTATGGAGCGATATATGGGCAGCGCTGCTGCCGAATCTTACTTTGTTTACTGTTGGCTATTAACTTACATCCCACTATCGTATTTATGTGTTCTTCTCTAGTGTGTATCCTGTAAATATCGTTACTCGCCTTACGTGTATACACATACTCTTCGAGCCCCGATGTTTACAAGTACATGGGAAGACAAGCGTACACAATGCACGTATGATTTTTCATTGGAAAATACTTCATTTGTTCATTATGTCACTACAAAAGTTTAAAAAAAATGTATGTCTGATATCCTCAGAGATAACACTGTATATCTTGGTAATTGTATTAAAATGTATGACAGTATCAAGTCAATACCTTATTAGTGTTCAAAATCAATACCTTAGCAAAGTAGATTTGACTGTGCCACAGTGGATCTAGAGGTTTAATGACTTTTTTCTCGAGCGACAGAGACGAGCTGCAGATGTGATGTCACGTGCACGTGAGCGCTCAAAAATGAATAATAAACCATCTCGGTAGGATTTAACTGAACTTTATTTAAGTATTTTTACGAGGCATTTTTTTATTGAGCTTCAATGGGCTGTAGATTGTTATTTTATAACTGGAATTTATTTATATTTAAAAAAAAAAAAAAAAAATCAAGACAGTTCTCCGATCTGCAAAAAGAGAGAAAAGCTCCGTAAAATAAGGCTTAACACTGCCTGATAATACGCACATGCGCGTACATTGCGAAGAAATACCTTTTCAACCCGATGACAAACACAACACCTGACTCATGACAGAAAACATAAGTATCGTACACGTAAAGTACAAGGTGCATCCATAAGCTTGTGCGAACGGGAAAAAAAGAAAAAAAAAGCACCGCTGCAGTGGAGAAAAAGAATCGCAAGTTTACCGGATAAGAAAACATGGAAAGTGAGTGCAGGGCAGGTAGCGCAAGTGGGACAATTGGGGGATGGGGAAGCCCTAGGGGTGCCGTCGTGCGAGAGCCCCACACACACTGAGGCTCGAGTGCACTGCCACGCTTCGTTTCTTTTTTTTTTTTTTTTTTTTTTTTCTTTCAAGCTCAAAATGAGAAAATTAATCGGCACGCGATCGTTACCCATATACGCGTACGAACAATAAAAACGANTTCGAGCATAATATTATCCCCGGCGTCGCAATCTCGGCTCAGGAGTCGCGCTCTATTGTAGTACCGTTTTTTTTTTTTTTTTTTTTTTTTTTTTTTTTTTCTTTCAAGCTCAAGCTCTCCGTGTGGGTATATGTGTGTGCTTACACGTGACGGCTATGAGCCATCAGGGACTTATTGCACACGTATGTACTTGATGAGGCATCCACTTCAGTAGAGCTCGTTTGGCTCTTGT